GGCCACGCCCCCGGACGCGCATGCGCGGCGCCGCGCGCGCGGGTGCTCTGGTGGGCGCTGGGTGGGGGCGGGTTCTCCTGCTGGTCCGCGTCTCCTGTGAGATCCGAAAGCCTCAGCCCCGCGCCGAGGAGCCCTGCGCTCACCAGGTGCGGCCTGCGGTGCTTGACGTCCAGGCCTGGACTGTGGGGGCGGGATCCGGCTCGCTCGTCCTCAGGTGAGTGCGCAGGGAGTCAGGTCGTCCTGTCCGGAGGTGGGCCGGACAGTGGTCTGGTCGCTCCGTCCTCCGGTGAGCCGCGCGGGAGTTTGATCGACCCTTGCGCAGGTGAGCCGGCAAGGATCAGGTCGCTCCGTCCGCAGGTGAGCATGCAGAAGGACAGGTCGTCCTGTCCGCAGGTGAGCCGGGCAGTGGGCCGGCTAGGATCAGGTCCCTCCGGCGGCTGGTGAGCCGCGCGGGGCTCGGGCCGCAGTCTGCGGGCGGTCCGAGAGGACACTGGCAGGCCGCCCGAGACCAGGTTGTACTCTCTGTAGGACTTGTTTATGTTTTTTGAATTATGTTCATTGAGAGTGTTTTTTTACTTACTTTTTGTATGTCAAAAATGAAGTTTATTCTGTGTTAAATATTGACATAAAATGGGTTGTACCACTTTAAAACTTGGAGAACTTTCACACTGCAGATTAAAGGGATGCAATTTTGTTTGGTGGAATAGGGAATAGGAGCTTTTTTAGGAGATGAAAAGTACTGAAAAGTAAAAGAGATCTCCACAAGGTGAGATGGAAATTGACCAGTTTTTTAAAGACTTGGCTGGTCCTCTCCAAACCATCAGTTGCTGCCACATCCCATCTTTAACTCAGCGGGATCTTCCTGCATGTCTGCTCTGCACCCTCAAATCAGTGATATTCTTTTTTTTCTTTTGGAGTATGATTGCTTTACCATGTTGAGTGTGTCTTTTAATTTTGGGAAAAAAATGTTTAAAAGCTGCTGAAGTGTAATTCTCAAAATACAGAAATGTAATTCCTGTGAAAACAGGGAGCACAGATCAGGTTGGACTAACTCACTGAGGAAAGACCCTCAGAGAGGACAGAACCAACTCCGGGATGGCGGTTGGGGCAGGGGATGGTCCAGGAACCTCGCACCTCATCAGTGCCTCTGTCGGACCTCGTGGCGCAGTCCCAGCCAAACAGACCTGCTGTGTACCCTGGAAAGTCGGGTGGCCTTCAGGGGCCTGCAAGCGACCCAGGGTGCTATAAGAAAGCCTGCTTTTCCCTCTTTCTGACGCATTTCCAAGTTTTGGATCAGTGTAGCCTCCATTGAACGGCGGGAGCTCACACCTGCTCTGGTGGAGACACCCCAGTCCCAGGACGGGACTGCGGAAACCCTCCTCTTCAGTGTCTTAAAACTCCTGGCCCAGTGCAGGGAAGCGGCCAAAACCACCGAATCTTGTGAAAAAGTGAGACGAGGTTTGTACAGAGCTTGACTTCCCAAAGAAAATGGAGGCCTGTGGGGCAGAGGTGGGCTTTCCAGCCCCGGAGCCCCTTCCCCTCGGCTGCGGGGCCTTGGCTGCCCAGAAGCAGGGGCTTCAGTGGGTGACTCCAGAGCCCCCCAGGATTGAAAGAGCAGGGGGTCCGTGCTCCTGGGTGCGGCTCTGCAGGGGCAGCGACAGTGACCTGGAGCTGGGGCCTGAGGTAAGGCCAGGTCGCTGCCACAGGACCAGCTGGGCCCGGGCCCCCTTGCCTGGAGGGTGAGGGGTGAGGTGGGGTAGGGGGGCGGGCGCTGAGCCCCTGGAGCTCTGCCCACCGCCCTCTGGTCTGTGCTGCCTTCCTGAGCAGCGCCCGGGTGCACGCTGGGGTGCTGCTTGCCAGGGGACAGCAGTACCATCTTGGGGTTCTGGGGGCTGTCTGGTCGCTGACTAGGTTCCCGCAGACCACCTCCAACCCAAGGCCTGGCCTTGTCCCTTTATGGCTCAGATGGGTCACCTCATCTGTGTGTCCCTGAGGCCCAGGGTGACAGGTTGGACCTGCCCAACCTGCCCAGAAGCTCTGAGCAGGCAGCTGTGCAGGAGGGTGTGTTCGGGGAGGGCTTGAGCAATGACCAGGGTAGGGCAGGTATACTGGGATCGAGTCCTGGGGGTGGAGTCCTGTGGTCAGTTCCTGGGGGTGGAATACGGGGGTCCAGTCCTGGGGTGCAGTACTGGGGTCGAGTCCTGCTGGTGGAGTACGGGGGTTGAGTCCTGGGGTTGGGTCCCCGGTCTGCACAGGGAGTTGTGTCCTTGTCTGACGGGTCCCACCTCGGCTGTCTGGCCTGGGAGCTTCGGTGTCTGCCTTGACCGCAGCACAGATCCTGGAAGGCGTGAGGACCCGGAACCAGGCTGAGGTTGCCGTCAGTGATTCTGGAGGCCGGTGGTTTCCCTGGTTCCTGGGTGCTGGGAGCCGCCCTCCCCGCCGCCCTGGCTTCTCCTTTGTCCTCAGAGGCGTGTGGTCAACTTGGCTGCAGCCTCGCGTCTCCACGTCCCACCCTCCTGGGCCCTCTGCCCGGCCCCTCAGGACCGCATGTCTCTGTGGGCTGCCTGCTGGGCAGCAGGGAGGTCAGAGGCGGGCACGTGGTGTGAGGGGTGCTGGTCGTTCCGGGCTTTCTCTCCAGGATGACTGGATTTGGTTTGGTTTTTAACTTGCCTCACAGTTAAAACCACCTGCAGCACACAGGAGACGTTCACACGCTTTCAGTTACATTCGCTTGGTTAGGAAAAGGAAGCCACTAAACCACTGCTTCTCAGGGTCGCAGGGCCCTAGAGCTGGGGGCACAGGCATGTTCAGTGGTTCTGCACCTGCTTAGGGCACCTGGGCATGTCAGACACGCCTGCAGCTGGTCCTTCAGGGCAGTGAGGCCAGGCCCTGGGCAGGCTCCTGGAGTGCCCTGCATGATTGAAAGGAACAGACTTGCCCGCGGGCAGTCTGAGCCCCCGGCCAGGCTCTGAGGGCCTGGGCACGTGGCGGTCAGAGGCCCGTGGAGCAGCCTGGGCTTGCCCAGGGAATCCGCGGTCCCGTAAGCCAGGCAGACCCCCAGTCAGCAGCCCCACATCTGCTCCTGTCCTCCGCTCGGCCGACCTCATCCTGCAGTCAGACTCCAGCTCCTGGGTTCCCGCTCCTAAACGGTGGAGCTGGGGTCAGAACCCACTGCCCTGTTCCTGGTTCTTAACTCCCGGGGTCCTGGGGTCCCCTAGCCTTGGAGAAGGGGCCCCTGTATGGGCCACTCCCCTGGCGAGCTCAAGTTGTTTAGTCAGAGCTTTTCAGGGTCACAGGGGAAGGGGAACCCCCATTCAAGACAGAGCTTCATGAAGTGAGGTGCTGGCTCGGAGCACAGTGCCGGGGGGACGTGTGAAGGGAGGGGCCAGACAGGGTGAAGGCTCGGGAGGGCCTACCTTTCAGCGGAGCTCAGGGTTGCGCGGCCCCTGCCTGGGGCTTGGCTCTGGATGGTGAGGCTTCCTTCTCATCCCCCAGCCCACTCCTGTCAGAGCTGCCCCCCACCCTGTGGTGCTGGAAGCTGACCACTGCGGGACCTGACGGCTCCGGGCTCTGTTCTGAGAGGGTCAGGCAGCTGTGGCCACAGAGGACAACAAAGCCCATGGTGCTCACAGGGCCTGGAGGCGGGACCCGGGGGCCAGGGGGCAGAGGACAGAACAGAGGGGGACGGAGGCATGGCCTGTCCTGGGGTTTGCAGGGAAAGGCAGGCAGGGTGGGGTGAACATGAGACTGGTCTGTTCTAGTGATATCTCTGGGCTTTGGGCGACAGGGGTGTTCTCAGCTGCCGGGCACCCGCCCAGGGTGATCCAGGCAGAGGAGTGTCCTCTCCTGGGGCAGGGCAGGTGGCGGAGGCTGGGCCTGGCTGGGGGGTTGGCACAGGTCATGGTCGGCTCCTGGCGGGTCCTTGGCTGGTGGGGTGGCGTCTGGGGAGTCCAGATGTCAGAACATCACAGTAGACAGAAACATAGATATATGCACACACACAGATGTGTATACACATAGATGTATACACAGATGTACACAAAGAGATACAGGTGTGTACACACATAGATGTACCCACACACAGATACATGTACCCAGAGATCACAGAGATACACGCACACAGATGTACACACAGATGTATACACAGAAATACACATATGCACAGATGTACACACAGAAATACATGCACGCACAGATGTATGCGCACACACAGATACACGCACACACAGATGTACACACATAGATACAGATGTACACACAAATATATGCACACACAGGTACACACAGATGTGTACACACATGGATGTACACACAGAGATACATGTATGAACAGATCAGAGATACATGCACACAGAGATACATGCACACACAGATGTATACACATAGGTAAACACATACAGATTATACACACAGAGATACGCGTACACACATATGTATATGCACACAGATACACACATACACCGATGTACACAGATGTGTACACACATAGATGTACACACACACAGATACACATATGCACAGAGATCAGAGATACATGCACACAGAGATACATGCACACACAGATGTATACATAAACACATATAGATTACACACACAGATACATGTACACACATGTACACACACAGATGTACACGCACACAGATGTGCACACACAGATATATGCATAGACGTGCACACACAGAGGAGTCGGGCCCGTGTCTTTCCCTGCCCCGTCCACACCCCCTCATCTGTCACGTCACTGTCTCTCACGCATCTGTCCCTCCAGCGGAAGCTTTCTTGCTGTGTTTGTGTCACCCAGATGCAGAAGCACAGGGTGGAGGCTTTTTGCCCGTGCTGTGACCGTCTCCCCGGCGTGGGCGCGGCCCGCGTGCCGCTCCGTCCGGCCAGCAGAAGGTCAGGTTCTGTTCTTCCCCAGGGTGAGGACGGGCGCATGAGGGTCCAGGGGCCGCGACCCTGGCGCAGCGTGCGGACCCCAGCCTGGCCGAGACGACGCGGGCAGCATGAGCCTCCTGGACGCCGGCGCCCTTGATCTGGACTACAGCTCCGGGCGGGTGCGCGGGGTGCTGGCGGCCGCCGGCTGCGCCTTCTACCTGGGCGTCTTCGTGGTCTGCCACTGGCTGTCCTCCCTGAATGCCACCTACCGCTCGCTGGCGGCCCGCGAGCGGGTCTTCTGGAACCTGGCAGCCGCGCGCGCGGTCTTTGGCGTCCAGGGCACCGTGGCGGGGCTGCGGGCACTGCTGCTGGACCCCGTGCTCCAGGCCGACAAGGCGCTCGGCCAGCAGGACTGGTGCTGGTTCCACATCGCCACGGCGACCGGCTTCTTCTTCTTCGAGAACCTCGCCCTTCACGCGTCCAACGTGCTCTTCCGCACCTTCGACGGCTTCCTGGCCGTGCACCACCTCTTTGCCTTCCTGGGCTTTCTCGGCTCAGCGGTCAACCTCCAAGCTGGCCACTACCTGCCCATGGTCACGCTGCTCCTGGAGATGAGCACGCCCTTCACCTGCATCTCCTGGATGCTGCTGAAGGTAGGTGTCCCACACCCGCTCAGTCGGTTCCTCCTCAGCTTCTGCGCCCGGCCGTGGTCCCTTCACCCCTGACACCCCTGCTGCCGGCCCCTTGTGGCCTGTGCTGTTCCCGGCCTGGGTTAGAGCGTGAAGGCAGTAGGAAGCTCATTCTGATCGAATTCCATTTTAATAATTTTAAGCAGCTCTCTCAGGCCTCCAGCCCATGGCAGAAGAAGATGTGGTGGGTGTCGTGTCTGTCTCAGTGGACAGGGTTTTTGGTAGATTCTCACTTGTTTGCCTCTGTTGGGGCTTCATGGTGGCGCTGTGGCTCAGTAGTTGTGGCTCGCAGGCTTAGTTGTAGTTGCCCCCTGGCGAGTGGGATCAAGCCCGTGTCCCCTGCATTGGAAAGTGGATTCTTAACCACTGGACTGCCAGGGAGGTCTCAGTAGACAGCATTTGTAAGCCCTTGAAAATGTGCTTTTTCTATGTGTCTGTATACATCTCCTGAAGGTTTTATTTCACGTTGCGTTAGTTCACACATATCTTCGTGGCCAGCACACGTGTGCAGCCGTAGGACACATGTGCAGCAGGTTTCTGGAGCTTACCCGTCTCGTTTGATGGAAACCTGCTGCCTCCCTCCTGCCCCCGGCAGCCACCCTCCGCAGTTTGATTGAGGACTACCGGACGCCTCGTCTGCATGCGCTGGTGCCTTCTTTCCTGTCCTGCTTTGTGTCGCTGGGTGAACGTCCTCCGGGTGCAGCCATGCTGCGGCACTCTGAAGAGCTCCCTCCTTTCTCGGGCTGAGCAGTTTCCCATTACGAGGGTGAAGCGCGTTCTCACCCACCATCCATCAGGGCGCGATCGGGGCGCTTCAGTCTGGTACTGTGACCTGTGCTGCAGTGAGCACGGGGTGCTGAGGCTCTTCCAGATCCTGGTTTCGGTTCCTTTACTGGCTCCTTAGGCAGTTCCGGCTTTAGAAGCGAACCCCCGCGCTGTTTCTCACAGTGGCTGCATGTTCTCTGTTCCCACCAGCAGCGCAGAGTTCGAGTCTCTCCACGTGCTCACCAATGTATGTTTTCTTTGTGTCTTGGATATTAGCTCATTGGCTTTGGTCTTGCTTTTCCCTGATGACTGGTGACAGCATTTTTTCATTTCATCTGTCCTTTGGCCGTTTATGTGATCATCTTTCGAAAACCGTTCAAGTCCTTGGTCCACGTTTCAATCAGAGTCTTTGTTATTTTTTACTGTTGAGTTGTAGTCCTGTTTTAAAAAACGATTTTATGTATTTATCTATTTATTTTTGGCCGTGCTGGGCCTTCGTTGCTGCTCAGACTTTCCTCTCGTTGCAGAGAACAGGGTCTTCCCTCCAGTTGCGATGCGCAGGCTTCTCTCATTTAGGCTCGTGGGCCCTGGGGCTCATGGGCTCCATAGCTGCGACTCCTGTGCTCCAGAGTTTAGGCTCCTAGATGCTGCTCAAGGGTGTGATGGCTGTGCGGCATGTGGGGTCTTCCTGGACCAGGGGTCAAGCCTGCGTCTCCTGCAGTGGCAGGTGGAATTCTTTACCCCTGAGCCACCAGGGAAGCCCTGGGGTTCGTATGTTCAAGATTAATCTCTTACTAGACGTATGGTTGGCAAGTATTTTCTCCCCCTTTGTAGGTTGCCTTTTCACTCTGCTGTTTCCTCTGCTTTGAGGAAACTTTTTAGTTTGTCGTCCCAGTTATTTATGTTTCAGTTGTCTTTGTTTTTGGTATAATGCTCATGAAATCATTGGCAAAACCAGTGCCATGAGGCTTTTCCCCTTTGTATTTTTTCAGGAGTGTTGGGTCTTACATTTCGGTCTTCAGTCCATCTCAAGTTGCTTTCTGTGTGGGGTGTGAGGTCGGGGTTCCGTTTTGTTCTTTTATGCATGAACGTGCACTTTCCCAGCAGCACTGACTGAAGAAACCACGCCTCCCTGCTGTGTGGCTTTGGCCCCTGTTGAAGACCAGTTAGCTGTGCGCGCGTGCATTTAGTCTGGGCTGCTGGTGCTGTTCCTCTGGTCTCCCTGTCTGTTGCTCGGTTCATGCAGTTTTTATTTCTCTAGGTTTGTAATAGAGTTTGAAATCAGAAGATGTGGTGTCTCCAGCTTTGTTCTTTCCTCTCAAGACTGATTTGGGTATTTGAGGTCTTCTGTGGTTTCGTATGAATTTTAGATTTTTATTGTTGTTAAAAATGCCATTGGAGTTTTGGCAGAGGTTACACTGTACACTTCCCATGTGGCTCAGATGGTAAAGAATCTGCCTGCCGTACGGGGGATCTGAGTTTGATCCCTGGGTCGGGAAGATTCCCTGAAGAAGGAAAAGGCAACCCACTCCAGTATTCTTGCCTGGAGAATCCCATGGACAGAGGACCCTGGTGGGCTACAGTCCAGGGCGTTGCAAAGAGTGGGACAGACTGAGGGACTGACACTTCACACTGAACCTGCAGACGACTGGTGACTTCCCTGGTAGGTTTCCCAGTTCAGTTATTGTGTCCTGCAGCTCCTTGGTTTCTGTTGGGAGTTTTTTTTATTCCATCTCTTCACTAATGTTCCGTTTTAAAACACGTGTATTTCTCTTGGCTGCACGGGGTCTTCGCCGCACGCGGTCTTCACTGCACACGGTCTTCGCCGCACGCAGGCTCTCTGGTTTTGGTGTCGGGCTTCTCATCGCCATGGCTTCTCCAGACCACAGGCTCCAGGGCACTCGGTCTTGTGGGCTTCGCTGCCCCGCGGCCTGTGGGGTCGCAGACCCAGGGATCCAGCCCTGTCCCTGCACCGGTGCGGATTCCCAGCCCCTGGGCCGCCAGGGAAGCCGTGTCCCACTCTGTCCGCAAATCCTCCTGCCCCGGGGAGCATCCTGTGCCAGTCCATGGGCCGCCCCTCAGCAGGGCTGGGGATGGGTCCTGCCCCTCCGTGTGGAGCGAAGGTTGTCCCTCATCTCCGGGCCACTGTTGGAGTCCGTGGGTCAGATGGAGCTGACCTCTGCCCAGCTGGCCGCCGTCCTCGCCTGGAGGAATCCCACCCATCAGCCCAGCCAGGGCCTGGGGCTTCTTGTCCGCATCCTCCTGGGGAAGGGCGGAGGCTGTGGCTTTTGTCTGCTCACCTGTTGAGAGCCCCACCAACAAGTTGGGGTGCTGGACGCCCCAGCCCCTCCCTCTTCGGCGTGAAGCAGGGAGCTGGGGTCTCCTCCTGACCCCAGGGTGCTGTGGGACATGGACCGTCCTGTCGCTCCAGGGGGCCTGTCCTGGCGGCAGGGCCCTTTCTGTGGGTCCCTGATTCCTCACGACGGAGTTTGCCTGTGGCCTGCAGCTCACACAGGCCTCTCTCAGCGCCTCTCACACATCAGCCACTGGGGAGGGGGTCTTCAGCTGCTCCTCCCTAGGTGGGGCGGCCCCCTCCTCAGGAAGCAGACAGACCCCAGCTGTGGGGGGGACCTCAGAGGGAGGCACTTTGTTTGGGGTCTTTTTCCTCTGAAGTGTTTGGATGCCATTCACTCAGGTTGGAAATGAAAAAGGGGAGTCCTGGGATGTGACCTCCTTTTTGAAGCCTTGCTGTGTTCATCACGTGCCAGCAGCCCCACAGCAAAGCTGTCCCTTCAGCTAGGACAGCTCAGAGTCAGCGTGTCCAGGCAGACTAGTTCTTCTAGTTCAGGTCCTGTTGAGCCTTGGGAGTAAATACCACTCGGATGCTGATACCCCTCTAAGCCTTTCGTAAAGCTGCCGAGTTCTTGCTTTGTCAGGCTTCAGGGTCCAGGCACTCTTGCCATGGACTCTGGTTTGATGAGATGTGGGAGGGTGTCAGGACCAGACGTCACCACCAGCGTAATGTAGTTTACACCCCAGATGGGCTTACGCTTCTGTTTCCTCCTTCAGTTTGGTTCTGAAATGCTGTTTAGAAATAATAATAAATGAATTACACACTCATACATCTAAGCTGGTAGAGACAACTTCATCCACAGAGACACTAATCCAGGTGCAAATGAGTTGATACTAAAAAAAAAAAAAAAAACAGTGAAGTTATGTATAAATATATACCAGGCACACTACCTGCTGGGACCCAAGCTAGACAAACAAACCTTGCATGGTTAAGTCTCAGATTGTTATTGACCCAGCTCTTCTCAGAGCATTTGGTGATGATGAAGGCAAAATTTTTAATGCCCGAATTAGAGCAAAAATGCTCAGTTCTCAAGCTTGGAGTTTTCTGAACTTAATGCAATTATTGTAGCAGTAAAGTTCATGCTTCTGGTGTGGATGTTAGTGATTTAAGATGACTGCTTTCAGCACATGGGGAAACAGTGGAAAAGAGTGGCCTTGCGTGCTGCGGTTCATGGGGTGGCAGAGAGTTGGACACGACTGAGCGACTGAACTGAACTGAGTGAACTTTGGAGGAGATGGCTCAGTGGATGGAAGATGGCTTGCTGGCCTCTTGGGTGGGAAGGCTGAGCAGTGGCCCCCCACCCCCCAGGCATTCGCAACTCACTGCACTTGTGTGAGCACCCAAGGCACGCTTGGCTCACATCCCCACTCTACAGTCTGTACATTTAACATCCTTCGGGCCAACACAAAGGCTACGTCTTTCTCACGTGAAGAATCTATCATTGAAAGCCTCAAACCTTACATATTTTCGTGTTTGAGAAGCACTCTTTTCTGTCTGATCATACAGTTTAAGGAATTTTACTTGTGTGAGTCATGATTCTGACTGACATAAAGTGGAGAATGCCTGCCCCACGCAGTGGGTATAAAACTGTTTCTATAGAACTGTGTTGTTTCCCTAGTACTCTGGTTTTCTTTTTCGTTGAAATATTGACATTTGAAAAAAAGTATTTTTAAGTAAGATGGGAAGTGAGATACCACTGGATTTCCCAGGAAGCGAGCAAGCATCCTAATGTAATTACATCATCCATCCTTTCCCTGGGGAGTCAAAATGCTGCCTAGTATCAGCTCTCCATATATTTTACTTATTTCTGCATTTTGTGTTGCTTATTTCTTGCACTGGCATCACCTTATTTCTGAAACATCACCATATTTCATCCTTTACTGAGGCACCTTCAGCCCTCCTGGTGCATTTACTGCATGGGTGGAATTATTTAGGGTTAGTGTTAAAATACAGAGGGAGATATTATCTTATTTGGACTAAATCTGTGGATAGATTCTAGGAGGAAAGAATGTGATGTCTTTTGAGTGTTTTCCATCCAAGAACATAATGTGCCTCAATTCATCCAAGACTTTTCCGAAGACCTGTTAGGGATCCTGGGCTCCCTTCTCCCTGCTGTCTCACTCTGCCTCATCCTTCTGCTTTTCTTCACACTCATTTCTTAGTCTAGGCTTGGTAGAAGCTAATGTAAATGGAGTTTTTAATATTTAAAACTGCCGGAATAAATAGGGTGTTTCTCTGAGTATTATCTGCAGCTGATTTAAACATCCCTGGTAGTAGAAGAGGACATGATCATGCCTGGCCTAGAAACAGCAGACAACTCAGATTTTCTGTGAAGTTATTTTTGGGGGTTCACAGTACTTCAGACAAGGAAGAAACTCGTGTTTTTCCACCTGTTTTAAGTTGGCCCTGGGTCACGGCTCCCGTTGCTTCTCGTCTTTCCGTGTCAGAGCTGTTTGTACACCTTCTGCAGCTCCGAGAGGTTAGGGTCTTCCCCTGTTACAGCGTGGTCCCTCCAGAGATCAGTGTCCATGTCCCTTCAGGGCTCGGCGGGTGCAGCTGCTGCAAAGCCACCGTGTTCCCAGGGTCACCGGGCAGTTGCCTGGCCCGCAGCAGCGCCTCACCAGGCCCCTCTCCTCCTGCACATTCCAGATGGGCTCTCCCCTGGGAGGGGGCTCAGGACGAGCCCCAGCCCCAGCGTGGCTCCAGGCGGCGAGGAGAGCCTGGGGTGCCCAAGCTTGTGGGTCCGGGGCGTGCAGGCCGTCCTGGCGCAGCGCGGTCCCCGCCACAAGCCACAAAGGCCCGTCTCTGTGTGCACGGTCTGCTGTGCAGTCTTCAAGTTCCCTGTTGGGTTTCAGCCACAGCTAATTTTACTGTGAGTTTAGAATAATTTTAGGGCAAGTCCGCTTGGGCTCGTCTCCCGGGGCCTGGGGAGGTTGGTCACGGGTGATGGACGTGTCTCCCAACATCGCCGAGTCCCTGGCTGTGTGCAGTGTGTGCACAACCCCGGCGGGGGGAGCCCCCAGGAGGGGGGCCCGCGGCCGTGCCCCTGACTGCGCTCTGCCCCCGACAGGCCGGCTGGGCGGACTCACGGCTCTGGAGGCTGAACCAGTGGGCGATGGTGCACCTTTTCCACTGCCGCATGGTGCTCACCTACCACATGTGGTGGGTGTGCCTGGGCCACTGGGCCAGCCTGGCCCGCAGCCTCTTCCCGCCGCACCTGGCGCTCTTCGTGGTCGGCCTGGCCCTCCTCACACTGCTCATCAACCCCTACTGGACCCGCAAGAAGACGCAGCAGCTGCTCAACCCCGTGGACTGGAACTTCGCGCCCAGCCGCCCCAACGGGCCAGCGCCACCCAAGAAGGCCAGGTAGTAGCCTCGGCCCCCAGCCCACGGCCTGCAGCCCCCTCCCAACCTTCGCCTCCGACGCCGGGCGTGCGTGCCCTGGGCGTGCGTGCCTGCTGCATGGCGCCGGGCGGCCCAGAGCGGAGGTGTCCAGGGACAGTGTCCGCCCGGCCTGTGCGCAGCCTCCCACGGAGGGCCGTGGGGCAGCCCCTGAGGCGTCCCTGCGACCTCCTCACGGCCCTGCTCGCAGAGGCAGGAGATAAGGCCCCCAGGCCGTCATCCCATCACGGTGGTCCCGGGGCAGCCGAGAGGGCTTCTCCCCGGCGAAGCTCATCCAAGCGAGAATTTTGCTGCCCTTTTGTGTGTGTCTGCTGACACTGGAGGGAGATGTGAGTCCTCACTTGTCTAGACGTGAGAGCTGCTTTTAACCAAGTGTGCAGCCAGCCCCTTACTCCTAATTGCTGTAGGTTTTGAGTCAGGGAGCCATCAGGGGGACCTGGCCCCAGTGGTGCTGAGCTGCGGGCCCCCTTCCTCCCTCCTGGTGACCAGCCCTGCCGCCACCCTCACGTGTTGGCCCCACGGTTTAATTGACAGTGCTGACATCTTATTCTTGCCACGAATGTGCAATTAAAATGAAAAGCTTATATCTGTTGAAAGTGCTCTTGAGTGTTTTTGGAAAACACGTTTATTGGTCGTGAGAGTCTCGTGTGCCCTGGGGAGCGCGGGGGTGGGGGGCACACACAGGTCAGGAGGTGTAACACCTACTTGCGTCACCTGGAGAGGCGGTTTCAACGTGAGACACACCCAGCAACCCGGGTTCCTCCTGGGGCTCCTTCCCCTCGCACAGACCCTGGGGGCCGAGCAGGCTGTTTGCACCGCCCGGCACTTGAATAAAGTGACCGAGGTTTACAGAACCTGAAGGCACGTCCCTGCGTATCTCTCGGTGCCGTTCACCTTGCTGCAGAGGTTTTCCATCTTGGAGATGCAGCTGTGATGATAAGTGTTCACGTGCTCAAAACTCAGGTTAAGATCTGAAACAGTCAGCTCGATTCCCACGTGACCCTCACTGGGACTTGGACCTTCCAGGTTCAGTCTCTGCAGCCTGTCTCAGCCAAGCTGGTGTTGGCCCCACCCTGACCGACTTCCAGGGAAGACACAGCTGGGCGTTTGGGCAGAAGGAGCCTCCTGAGATGATGACCCAGCATCCCGGTGCCTCCGCTGCCCGACAGCATTTGCCCTCCTCCACCCCGAGCGTCCCCTCGCTCAGCTCTGCCGGCGTCGCTGCTCTGGGCCCCGGGGCTTTCCCAGTCACAGGTGCCTTGCCAGTCACAGGACGCCGAGGGTGCCTTGCTCTCTGGCACGCACTCCGCCAGGGAGTTGGCACCGTCCATCTTTACAGTGGGGCCTGAGGCTTGGGTGGTGGCCGGCTGGGCAGCGGCCTTGCAGCTGAGGCCCGTGGACTGGAGCGCAGCAGCACCCTGCTGACCCCGGCCAGCAGGCCCAGGTGCATCCCCGGTTTGCAGAGCCCTCAGCGGCCGTGTCTGCTTGTCCAGGACAGGCGCAGGGTCCACCCGGAAGGGCAGTGTTAGAAGTTCGGGGGTGAGAGCAGCCCTCAGCTCAGCCCTGTGGCGAAGCCGATGGCTGCAGGCGACATGGTGGCCTCTCGAGGCAGGTGTGGCCGGACGCCCTGCAGGGTCAGCCGGCATCAGGGCCGACCGGTCTGGTGACGGGCTGATGGGCTGACATTTTCTTTCAATGCGTGTGTTTAAAGAAGCACAATGGGGAGACCGGCTCCTCTTCCTCCTGCGCGTGCACCTTGGAGGCTGGTCCCTGTGCCTCACGTGGGCCAGACGCTGCCCCAGGACAGGGTGCGGAGCTGGCGGGCAGGAGTGGGGGCCCCTCTGGGGTCCGAGCGGGGAGGCTGGCTCCTGCAGGCATCCCCCGGGGTCCTCTCCTCAGGGCTCCAGGCTCTCACCTGATCTGTGCTTTCAGGATGGAGCCCCCGTGAGAGGGGGAGCGGGTCTGAGTGAGCCGGCACGCCCTGGAGGTCCGATGGGTTTCTCGTTGGGTGAGTCTGTTTGCAGCTCACCCAGAAGAAGCCACCGCAAGTGGTGCACACACCCCCGTGGCTGCTTTCAGGTCACCTCCCTTTACTAAACTGCTCTAGTGGGAGAGCTTACCAACTCAACATTTCTCTTTCTAAATAAAAGCTTCCCCCTTTTCGGTAACTAAACTATGCAATGCATACATGGTTTTGCCAGATCTCGTTTAGTGATGTGAAAAACTCAGAAACTTGTCGTTTTTCTCTGACGACTGGGAACCCAGAGAGCTTGGAGGGGACCCCGGCCGAAGCCCCCACGCGGAGCGGAGACGCAGCCCTGCGAGCCACGTTTAACTTCGGCCTGGTGTGTGCGCTGTTCTTACTGCTCTGCAGTTGCACTGTCAGGCGCCGGCCTTTGCAGGCCTGGACACTGTGATCTCTGTCCCCACGCCCCCCCACATGCTGGCACTCTGACCTCAGGGCCACCCCCAGAGGCCCCAACACTGCTGTGTGCAGAATACATCAGAGCTCTGCTCTGTCACGGAGTTTCCTGGGGGGTGTTTTACAGAACTGGGTCGTTTTCAGTGATGCTCCCACGTGCAGGAAGAAAATGTTATTTTACTGCAACATTGCTTTCTCCAATATTCCTTGGGATCCAGGGAGAAACGGCCCCAAGTGGCTCTCTAAATGACAACACCACAGTTCAGCTGAAACTGTTCTGTGGGTGGGAAAGGGAACAGCATGAAATTCCTTAGCGTTTAAGCCACTGAATCCGAGTGAGCCTTCTGGACTGGGTTTGTTTATCGTCTCAGGGGGGTGTGTGTGTCTGTCTGTCTCAGTATGTGAGTCCACACCCTGCTCTCTCTTCCTGGTTTTGACCCTTGTTAGGGGTCTGGATCGTGGTTTGAGGGGAGACCCTGATGATTAGGAAAGAAAGGAAGTGGAAGGATTGAGTGTTCTCAGAGACCTCCTGAGAGGATCCTGGTAACTGCATGTGGTGGAGACGCTCCTCGAAACTGATCGCTTAGTTTGAAGTCTGTTCCAGAGCCACCTGCAAGCTCGTCTAGAAGTGCAGGGGGTGAGTGCTGTGTGCCACGCTCTATCAAACCAGTCAATCCTAAGGGAAATCAACCCTGAATACTCACTGGAAGGACTGATGCTGAGGCTGAGCTCCAGTACTTTGGCCACCTGATGTGAAGAGTCAGCTAATCAGAAAAGACCCTGATCCTGGGAAAGATGGAGGGTAGGAGAAGAAGGGGACGACAGAGGATGAGATGGTTGGATGGCATCACCGACTCAATGGACATGGGTCTGGGTGGACTCGGAGAGTTGGTGAAGGACAGGGAGGCCTGGCGTGCTGTGGTTCACGGGGTCGCAAAGAGTCGGACACGACTTAGCGACTGAACAACTGTCTGTTAGTTAGGCTGAACAGGCTATTTGGGTACTGAAGGAGCTCTCACCTTGAAAATGGCCACATTGGGCTCTCTTATGTTCTAAAAACTGGTTTTTGCCTATGCAGCGAGAGGAAGTGGCTTTCTAAGAGGAACCTGCTTTTCTCTCCCTGTGCCTTTGAGATGTAAACGTTCTGACAGTTCCTGAGACTGAAGAGAAAAGAGGGAAAGCAGGAAAATTGAGACTCTGTGTAGGTGTCTGTTATAGAGGTATGTCTTTACCTACAGATAGTATCAAAATTATTCAGTAATGTGTAAATGAGCCTGTGACCTGCTTAAAGGAAATTAAGTGCTTACTAAAAATACAAAAGAAACCTACCCAAATGAATTTCAGGTTCATGCAATCTGGGAAATACTCAGCATTAAATATCTGGTTTCAAAGTTTAAGCTTGTTAAACTTAGTTAATGCAGACATATTTCAAGAGTCATCAACTATAATTTTATTATACTTAAGAAAGTTAATAAGACCTTATTCTGTTACAAAATTCATGAGCAAGGAAAGTAACTTGATACAATGACTTTAAGTTAAATATAATTGAGATAAGAGTTTTGGGAGTTGAGCTCTTTGGGAATAACTGTTTTAGGAAATCTACTTAAAAATAGTCTCTCCAGATTTTGGCAACTTGAAAGTTTTGTTAAGTTAAATAATGGGAAGTCACTGTTTGAATCGCTAATTGCTAAAAAAAAATCTAAGTTCACCCACTTTTTTTTATGAGAGAAAAACTAAATATGTTTGGGTTTATTAGAAACATCTTATACCACACTGAGGACAGAAATTATTCTATGAGATGATGTGTGTGTTTTTGGAGGCTGTAGAATACATAAGTTTTCCAATCAGGAAGCACTGGTATGATCAACAATCCTTGCTTCTATTTTTGCTGGAGATTAAGGTTCTTAACGGCTGTTGTTTAGTTGCTCAGTCACGTCCGACTCTTCTGTGACTCCATGGACTGTACGCGCCAGGCTCCTCTGTCCACAGGTTTCTCCAGGCAAGAATGCTGGAGTGGCTGCCATTTTCTTCTGGAGGGGGTCTTCCCCACCCAGGGATCCAGCACACGTTTTCTGCATTGGCAGGTGAGTTCTTTACCACTGAGCCACCAGGGGAAGCCCTGTTAGGGGTGAAAAGCTGTAATATACATATATGTATATATTTTAAGCCACTAAAATAAGTGAAACATTTCAGTATACAAGGAAAGATATGAAAATGCAAAGGGGAAAAGTAACTTGGTCCTGAAGTTGGTTATTTCTAAATAGGAAAGAAAGTAAGGGACAAACTAACACGGGAAAAGGAAAGTTGTGACAGGTCTGTAACAAAGGAGCCCAGAAGCCCAAAATGTCTAAGGGATTAAACTCGGATTGTTTGGTGTGTTTAATTACATGGGAAGCACTGTCAAAACTTTCTTAGGTCATAATGTCTGGGTAAATGTTGTTGCTGTTTTTTTTTTTCTCCGCACCCCCCAAATGTTGTTGTTATATTCTAGAAATTGTATGGAATTCTGAAAAACCTGGTGGTCCTGATAACAAAACTAGAATTTTGACATTTTAATTGAGGTCTGTGTTTACTAAGACTCACCTCCCAGATAGTTCCTCGTTATGTCACATAATTGCCTTTTTTTTAAAATTATTTTATATTGAAGTACAGTTGATTAACAATGTTGTGTTACTTTCAGGTGTACAACAAAGTGATTCAGTTATACATATACATGTATCTATTCATTTTCAAATTTTTTTCCAAGTTAGGTTGTTATAGAATATTGAGCAGAGTTCCCCGTACTGTACAGTAGGTCCTTGTTGGTTATCCATTTTAAATACTACAGTGTATACATGACCATCCCAAATTTCCTAACTATCCCAATTATGTTGCATAATTGTAAAGTTTAATTACAAAAGGATACTCAAGTACGTTTGTTTTTGCAGCTTATCACAGCAGTCTGTCTTTGAATAAGACTGTGCATACTGGACAAGGCATTTATAGGACTGTCTCCAACCTAGATGGAAGGACCCTTGCAAGGTCCTTTTTTTGTTTTTGTGTATTGAGGACCATTGGCACTTTTCACTGAAGCACAGTCTATGTTGTGTCAGCTGTAAGGCACAGTGATTCCGTTACACATACACCCACGTCTGTCCTTTTTCAGCTTTTCCTCGTGGACTCTCACAGGCTACTCGGTGCAGTTCCCCGTGCAATGCAGCAGGCCCTTGTTTATTTTATACAGGAGTCTGCATGTGTTAACATCAAGCTCCTGCTTTACCTACTAAGTGCCCTTGACTTGCTCAGGCAGCGTGAAACTGAAGAGATCTGACTCAAATTCATACGTGAGGTTTGTTGAGAGCTTTCTGTTCTGAACAGCAAGAACACCGCCCCCCCCCCCCCCCACCGCACCCTCCTGCTCACTGTCTTTAAGACACCTCCCTGGAAGACAGCTGAGCATTCAGCTGTGAGCACCACTGCACATGCCCCTGGGGTGGCCCACGGCGGGCGCCGACGGACGCTGCTCTGCCCTTCACTGCTGTCACCCAGTTCTGGCTCACCGACAGCGGGCTGGGGGCGCTCCTTCCTCACCTGCCTGGCAGCAAGGACAGAGCCCATGTCCTCATCCGCGAGTCTGCAGAGATGCTCTCCTCTCCTCGACACATTATACAAGTGACCCTTGTGTCCACTTAGAGGTAGATTTTATTCAATAAATATACTGATTTTTTTTTTTTTCCTTTGAGATTTGCAACAATTTGAAAAAACTCAGACAAACCACATAGCCCAGAAACATTGAAACAAGTCAGGAATGTCATATGCATGAAACCTGTAGATAAGCTTACGGTGAGTGCTGTTTGAAATTAAGAAAGTGTTAGTGTTCCTCTCCCAGTTGGAGAGACTGGGTCCCACCCATCACAGGTAAGTGTCCTTTTGTGTAGCCGTGTTTCCAGCGCTGTGTTAGGAATGTGGTTGTAACGCTCTGCCATAAGAAATGTAAAGCTACTCATTCATTAGGGCCTCTACTGCTGGCGCCTGAAGAACCCGCAACCGGAGGTGTGAGCTGAGCCTTAAACTTGGGGGCCTCACTGAGAACAGCCTGGGAGGCTGCTCTGAAAGGTAAGGGAGGAGATGCCTGCTAGTCACAGAACAGCACCGAGTTCGGCGATGACAGGACGCGGACATGTGGGCGCGGGGAGGCTGCTCCTGCACGGGCGGAGGCTGGGCCCAGAGCACGGCTCCTTCCTGTCGTCTCCCTGCCGAGCCCGCCGACTCTCGCCGGGCCAGCTGTGTGGCTGATGGCTGCAGCGTTCTCCGTCCACTGCCCCCGGTGCCAGGAGTTCTTGTGCCTGGGCCAGATGAGGAGAGGCCAATGTGTTATTTTGGTTTAGGCCTGCCAATAGATAACCTGAAATCCTCTGTGTTGCCTGTCTTAACTCATCAGTTATGACCCAGGAGGTATTCTCCCTAGTTTCTTCCTGTATCTAGAGTTGCACCAGTACAGTATTCAGTATAGAGTTTTATATATATATATATATAATTGACTGCCTCAAGACTTAGGTAGCGTTAATTTTGTTAAAGCTCTGGTTACACAATTGGTAACACAAGAGATAGGATATCATTCAGGTAGTAACATGAATAAAGTCATAAGTAGGGATTTAAGCCATGAGATTCTAGAACCAAACCAGCTCCCTGAAAGGATCAGGAAGACTAGGAAGTGGACGACTTAGGACAGGAACCTCATTTTTCACGTGGGTCATTAAATGTATCCCATTAGAGGATCTTTCTGGTAAGAAAACACAGCGTTCGGTTTGAATTACAGCACTGGTGCCTCCCTGAGATGCTGTAAGGATATCAAGGGTCATGTGATTTTGTGATAACCACTTTTCTCATCATAGAGGCCTCAGTTCAGTCGGCTAATAGCCTGATTAATCATTTAAGGCCTTTTGGGTGAGTTCTGTTGAGGCTTTGATGTGGGCATGTACATCTTCCAGTTCTGCTGATGCTAAATGGTCATACCAGGGGAATACAGCTCACTTAGTAATCTGCGGAGTCATCTCTAAATTAAAGTACAGGTGGCTTTGAGCCCTAAGGAATCCTGACATTCACCTTCCCACCCATCCTGGCAGAGGTCAGGGCCGCAGACCAGCGCCCGCTGCCATCAGGTTCCATTAGGCGCAACCCGGGAGACTTCTGGTCACGTCTCTTTAAGGGAGGTGGTAACATGCTGACGTTTTCTATGAGGCACCCAGCTTGGTTTTCTGGTGTTAGTAGGCTGCTGTAAAAGCCTTTGCGGTTGTTGTACCCACGATACCGTCTTACCTGGGTGCCAGTGAGGTCGCTCAGGAGGATATTGAGGTCGCTCAGGAGGATACTGAGGTTCACCAGGAGAGGCCTCCTCTCTGGGCGTATCCCCAGCGCTTGAGTTCAGCCTTCCCTATGTGGCCAGGCGCCTTTCTTCGGGTGCTGTCCCGGAGCAGCCTCTCAGGGCGGCTGCTGGGAGGCCAGTGTGGTCTTGGCCGTGTGGTCACTGCTGCAGAGTCGGCCTTTGATGCCACCGGGGTAGCAGGTGCCCTGGTGGCAGAATCGCCTCCAGCAATGCTGCTCATGTGTGCTGTTGTGACGCTGCAGGTCCTGTTCCCGAAGCATCCCTAAGCCGGGTCCCCCCGCAGGCGGCGGCGGCTGTCAGCGCAGCAGACTCCTGGGCACACAGGCAGGTTCTCCTCAGTGCCGTCACCTCAGCCTGTTGAATGAGGCGACTTCAGACAAAACTCTGTTGTCCAGGACAGCACGGGAGAAACACGGTGCAGCCCGCCCGGCACCTCCCACGAGGTTCTCGCAGACAGGAACCACAGTGAGTGAGTAACCTAAAGTCAGGATTGTCCGTCAGGCTTTCTTGAAGGTCAGTCCCAGGAGACAAAGGGTTTTCATTGCTGATGTCTGCTGCTTCTGGGAGCCGGTGCTGGGCTGTTCGTTGCACCTGTGGAGAGTTTTGGTTGCGCAAGACCACCTCAGGAGAAGGTGGTGGGCTTGGATAATGTGTGTGATGAGAGTTTAGAAAAGCCTTCACGAGTGGGAGACCACGATGGTTAGAGTGTGACCTGAGACCGTCCCTTCTGTGGTCGGACGCCGCAGTCCTTGGCTGCTGAAGCCGGCACCTGGTGGTGGTGTCCAGTTCTTCGGTAGGAACTGCAGTGTCCCTGGGTTAAAACGCCTAGTGTGGCATCTCCGTTTTCACATGCAAAGAGAATAAAAGGGTAAATAATATTGGGATGCCCCAAGGACAGGGCCTTTACCAGGAGGTTTTTTAGAGTCTCGTGGCTTCAGAATGAATGTTTTTTCTCCCAAAGAGGCTCAGCTGGGCCTTGTCTAAGGGAGTCACATACTAGTGGGGCCACTGAAGACGGTTTTGGAATGCAGTTCCTGCAGCAGCTGGAAAGCCCCTGACCCGTGTGTGTCTCGGGCGCAGGGAGAGCCAGTGTCTCCACTGCCAACTATCAGACCTTCCAATGACCCGTCACATCAGCCTTACAGACCATCGTTTTCCCTGGGACACTCTGTGCCTTTGAAGCTGGTTTCTGAAGCACAGGCTGTCCTGCTAGAAACTGAACACGACAGCAAATCATCTGCACGTTGTATCCGAGCTGACCTGTGACGCTGGGTCACCTGGGTCCGCTTGGCGTCTGAGGAAGGGGGCTCTCGGTACGGCTCTGCAGTGCTGTGCCGCCGTCCGTCCGAAGTGGAGATGCCGAAAGGCGCTGCAGAGACCACAGCAGAGGGGCCACCGTCCTAGCGACAAGGGCAGTGAGGGGTGATGACAGCGTCACTAGAGCCCAACCGTGCGCCCGTCCGGGTGGTTAACTGGCGGAGAGAGTTACAGGGGTGGTGCAATTGGAGCAAAAGGTTTTGCTTCGCTGTGGCTTCCTCCCTCCACGGGCACTAATGAGGATCGGGCAGAGGGCCTTCTTCTCGACTCCGGTCTTTGCAGTGGGAATGCATTTTCCTTGTCAGGAGGATCACGTGCCTGTAACTCTCAAGGTGCTCAGCCCGGCGATCTTCCCCTGCATCACCTGATCGTAGGTCACATAGAATCTTGTCTTTCAGGTCTAAGAACATTTCCCCTTAGGAGGAAAGGGAGCCTGGCCTTCGTAAGTTTCTAATCTCTTTCTATCGGGTGAATGGGGCGCTTTGTACTAGAAAAGGTGAGCTCCTTCCTTTAAGTTCTCCTAAGGAAAACTGACTCATTGGAAAAGACCCTGATGCTGGGAGGGATTGGGGGCAGGAGGAGAAGGGGGCAACAGAGGATGAGATAGCTGGATGGCATCACCGACTCAATGCGGATATGAGTTTGAGTTAACTCTGGGAGTTGGTGATGGACAGGGAGGCCTGGCATGCTGTGATTCTTGGGGTCTCAAAGAGTCGGACACGACTGAGTGACTGAACTGAAGGAAAATTCTAAAGAGCCTTAACAGGTACATTAAAACCCCACCATTTGCATTAAGCACCGCTCCACGGGCAGAAGCCTCAGATTTTGGTCAGGTTTAAACCTGAAAAGCTGCCCCCCTCCTGTTAGGGCTTTAACTGTTTTCCCCTGTGTTTTCTTTTCTACTTCTCCCCGTGTGTTAAAGACGAAAGACTCCCAGTGTTCCCTTGGAGCAGCCTCATTCTTGTCTAACTTTGGATTCTGCTCTGACATCTAGTCTGTTTTAAAATCTTTCTTCATCTTCCTACAGTTCCTTCTCCAATGACTTTTTCTTCTTAAACCCACAGTAAAAGCAAGTGCGAGGTTCATTTGTCAGTCGAGGACTGAACGGGGGTTTATTAACTGCAGCCTGACTTTGGTTATTTAACTGGTACAGTCGAAGGTTCACGATTTTTATAGATGTATTTCTTTCTCTCAGTAGTTTTGAAAAGTTGGTCAGCCAGCATGATAAGGGCATTTTATTGTAATGCTGACCAACCTAAGTTGTATTTTTTATTTAGAGCAGCCAGCTCCTCATTAACACCTTCTAAAACAGTGGAGTTAAGCAAAGGATCATTTTGACTGTTAGAGAACATTAAGAATAGTGTTTGAAAGCTCTCAAACCTCATAATCCAGGATTCATCTTGTCTTTGTTTGCACTGCTGAATCTTTGTCCAGACTACAGCTTGGGGGAAAGACTTGGAGATAAGTAATTTATGAGATAATTGCATTCGCTGTGAACCTGTGAACCATGGGAATCGAAATTGGTTGAGAGGTGTTCCCACTCTGCTTTGTCACTCCTTTCTCTCGCTTTGTTTTCAGGAATAGCTGCATTAACGGGTACAGATCTGCAAACCCGGGCTCACAGGTTTGGATGTTTACCTGAAATTCCTTTACAAATCGCAGTAGGTCCTGACTAGGACTGGGAAGCCCCCTTGCTAAAGCCCTATGTTTTGCTCGAGTCCAGGGTGTGTCTGTAAGCACAGACAGGAGCTCACCTCTTCCTGTGGTAGGTTCTACCTTAAAGGGGATGTAATTACTTCTGACTGTACGTCCTCTTTTACTGGGGGGGTCGAAGCAGGAGGCAAGGTGATGAAGAGACAAGGAATCAGACAGTTCAGGACAGTGAGGACTTGAGGCAGGAGCAGAGGGAGAGGCAGCTTTGAAAAATTCTGGTACTGTATCTTTTGATTGGTTTCCTATAAAAGTTTATCATTTCCTCTTTCAGTTCAGTTCAGTTCAGTTGCTCAGTCGTGTCCCACTCTTTGTGACCCCATGAATCGCAGCACACCAGGCCTCCCTGTCCATCACCAACTCCCGGAGTTTACTCAAACACATGTCCATCGAGCCGGTGATGCCATCCAGCCATCTCATCCTCTGTCGTCCCCTTCTCCTCCTGCCCCTAATCCCTCCCAGCATCAGGGCCTTTTCCATTGAGTCAATTCTTCCATGAGGTGGCCAAAGGACTGGAGTTTCAGCTTCAGCATCAGTCCTTCCAATGAACACCCAGGACTGATCTCCTTTATGGGGGACTGGTTGGATCTCCTTGCAGTCCAAGGGACCCTCAAGAGTCTTCTCCAACACCACAGTTCAAAAGCATCAGTTTTTCGGTGCTCAGCTTTCTTCACAGTCCAACTCTTACATCCATACATGACCACTGGAAAAACCATAGCCTTGACTAGACGGGCCTTTGTTGGCAAAGTACTGTCTGGTGCTTTTTTTTTTTTAATATGCTATCTAGATTGGTCATAACTTTCTTTCTAAGGAGTACGCGTGTTTTAATTTCATGGCTGCAATCACCATCTGCAGTGATTTTGGAACCCAGAAAAATAAAGTCTGACATTGTTTCCACTGTCTCCCCATCTATTTGCCATGAAATGATGGGACCAGATGCCATTATCTTAGTTTTCTGAATGTTGAGCTTTACGCCAACTTTTTCACTCTCCTCTTTCACTTTGATCAGGAGACTTTTTGCTCCTCTTCACTTTCTGCCATAGGGGTGGTGTCATCTGCATATCTGAGATTATTGATATTTCTTCTAGCAATCTTGATTCCAGCTTGTGCTTCTTCCAGCCCAGCGTTTTTCATGATGTACTCTGCATATAAGTTAAATAAGCAGGGTGACAATATACAGCCTTGACATACTCCTTTTCCTATTTGGAACCAGTCTGTTGTTCCATGTCCAGTTCTAACTGTTGCTTCCTGACCTGCAGGAGCATCTAAATATCAATAAGCATTCCGTTCAGACTGTCTGATCAACAAACTGACTGTTTGTTGAGATAAAAATCACTAGTGATGATCCCAGGTAGGCCAACCTGCTGGTTGTGATCATAGATTGTAGCCTAGAGTCATGTCTCTACCTTCTGTAGTCTAAATCCACTGTGGGTGGTTGGAACAGACTGGCTGGCCCTTACGTGTGTCCCCAGCTGAGCAAGTTTTTAATTCAGATGAGTAAGTTTCCCTCTGCAGACAGCAGTCCAGTGTGAAGACTTACCTCCACCACTGCCATGAGTTTCCCAGCTGTCCAAGAAAGCCACCACTGATGGGAAAAAGTTCATACCAGATTGCTGCTCCAAAGAAGGGACAGCTTCGTCTATATTCCAACAGCCCCTGTTCCCTCATCCAATTCAGGGAAAAATGACACATCAGTCTCACACCTAATTCCCAGTCCAGCCACACTCCGTGTCTTTGACTCAACCTTCCTCTCATCTCTCAACTAGAGTAACCCAGGTACCTCTTCTTGAAAGTAACCTGCTCCTCCAGTGAGGGATTTATCCACCAGCAAATAGGATAGGATCAGCCGATTGCAGATCTGAGACCCAGGAGACTCCCCAGGGAGGCAAGTGGGCACAGGAGCCTCCCTGCTGAGTTCTGGCGAAGGGGAGATGTCTGCTCTGGGCCCCCTCGTGGTCACCAAAACCACTGACTGGAGGAAAACATACAGCTCAACTTGCAAGTTTTAGGTTATTTGGGGACCTTACTGAGGACTCGATAGCCCAGCCTCTCAGAGGAGGGTAGAGCAGAGCCAAGGTGTATACATTTTTTGCTGGAAGAAAAAAAAATCAAGGATTATTGCTCATCACACAGGCACCCCAGACATTTCAAGTTAATCATTTCATTGCTTTTCTACGCATGGGGAGATGCAAGACTCTGGCCTCCCTCAGTTACTCTTCAGACATGCACGCAAGCTGTC